AAATGTCTTTCTACATTTACCTGTGATCGGTTTAATGTCTGATTGAATTTGACTAGTGCTTTTTAAACTGCGTTAAAACCTTTTGTAGGTCAGAGAATTATTTCACTGTCTCAGCCAACTTGCTTTTCGCTCGGCGATTGTGTGGCTCGCCTCCGATCCAGGGGGAAGATTTAAGTGTTATAATGTGTGTCGGGCACAGAATGCACCCATACGCATAAAAGAGCTGGTTTGATTGTCATCTAGCTAGTCGAACCGGGTAATGCTTTGACAGCCTATCTGCTTCTAGGACATACAGTCTTGGGGGATGCTTTATTGCATTATTGCTCTTAAACTTATGATCCTGTTTGTCGGCTCTTGGTTTTCACTCTCTGTGCTTACTATACATTTGATAAAACGGGTTGAATTTGCTTACTTCGTAGTGATGTTGGAAATCCCATACTTGCATCCACGCGTCCCTTCACGTATTGCGAACAAGCAAGTGAAAATGCACGGACTTCATGCGATTGCTGCTTTGATCTGTTGACTTTGTCCGAAAACTTGTACGAATTCAGCAGTCGTTTGTGGTTTATTTGTATTACTTCCTCTGTTATGAATTTTGCTCAAAACTGCGGTATTGTCTGGTGCTAATGCCTGCAGCAGAAGGACCTAGTAACCACCATTTTAGGATGGAAGTACAGCTGTGACAAACGAATAATAACAGTCTCCATCTCTAGGCATAGTACGTAATTTCCTGACATCACTAATCCTCGGCTTCTGTTTCCGTTTGAAGAAAGAGGAGGTTGGTCACACCCAGACAGAGCATCGGGTGCTGCAACTCAATCACCATCCCTTCATGACGCAATTAAAGTACTCCTTCACTACACGGGATCACATCTTCTTCGTAATGGAGTACTGTAATGGTGGAGAACTCTTCTATCACCTCTCTCGAGAGCATGTCTTCTCGGAGTCGCGAACACAGTTTTACGCTGCCGAAATCACATCTGCTCTTGGATACCTTCATAGCCAGAATATCGTCTATAGGCAAGTCATTGGACAGTGATTACTTTAGGGTTTATGTTCCAAATCAATCCTTGAGTCATAACTCCATTCTGACGCTAATTGTCATTTCTAGACAAATTGACCGAGTAGATAGAATTCGCTCTCAGCAATTTATGCATTTTGATTATTTCATATGAACAAAAATCTATCACTTTCGAGTTACCAAGCATGATATTGAGCTGAGCTTTGGGTTCATGGTCTATAATGCCTTCAAGCATACGCCTCGGCTTCGAGTTACATTTCAATTTCCGGCTAATGCTAACTCATTTTCGTGTTTTCAAATGCTGGTTATATCACTGATTGAATGTCAACCGCATTTACCTGGGCATGTTGCTTGTTTCAATCAAGTTCCGTCTTATCACCTTTGGCTTTGGTCGAAATTGAGCCACAGGAAACATCAACGTTCAGGTAGACAGTGGCTCTCTTCAAACAGTAACATTTTTCGATGTTCAGTTTGAATGAATAGATGCGTTTTGCTTGAATAAGTTGAGTGACAATGTTTATGCTCTGTCATAGTACGGAAATTATTGGTACCGATTAATGCATCATGAAACATTCGCGCGATGCAATGACGTAGAGAATCGCCATTGACGGGGTGTTTTTGAAGTCACTAACTACTTTATCTTCTCATAATCGTGCTTACATTGGTTTGCGACATAGAGACCTGAAATTGGAGAATCTGTTGTTGGATAAGGATGGTCACATCAAGATAACCGACTTTGGTCTGTGCAAGGAGGACATAGGCTTCGGTTCTACTACGAAGACCTTCTGTGGCACCCCTGAGTACTTGGCGCCGGAGCTGCTCCTGGACAATGACTATGGGTTGTCTGTGGATTGGTGGAGCCTCGGCGTTGTCATGTACGAAATGATGTGCGGTCGACTGCCATTCTACTCGAATGAACACGAAATCCTCTTTGAACTCATCCTCCAGGTTGGCATACTATTGTTTCCTGGTTCCTTTGCTGTACTCTGCGGCTTATCGATTTGACTCCCCATAGGAGAGTGTAAAGGTGCCGGAGAACCTTAGTCCTGTGGCACGCGACATACTAATCCGCCTTCTTATGAAGGATCCAGCCGAGCGATTGGGTGGCGGCAAGGCAGACGCTATAGAAGTGATGGTGCATCCCTTCTTCGAATCCATCTCCTGGGAAAGTCTGATCCGCAAGTACGTGTCATGCTCAGATCATGATCAAGTAGTGGAGTTGTTCTGCTGGCTTACTGCCTCCAGTGCTCTGGATCCCTTGAATTCTCAACCAAGGCACGTGGGGTATAAATGGTTTACAGGTACACGTTCATGTTGGCTACACTGGAATGTGGGCGTGAGGAAATACCGATGTCCAAGCGGGAACTTTGGTTATTCAGCCATCTTAGCCACGCTCAGTTACACCGATCACTCGATCTCGAACCCAGGGCGATTATTGGCTTAAGTGCAGACCAGCTAATACGATCACAGCAAGCTGGAATGAGTATGGTCAGATGGCCCTTAGGAATGTTAGCAGAAGCATGTGCGAAAATTACAGTTTTGGAAAAGGGAGAGTTTTTGGAGTCGCAGACATTCACATTTGATGGCTAGTTAATCACTGCATAGGATCTGGATTGTTGCTCTGTTTTATTGGTGTGTATGCGTATGTGCACTTGTATGTGTGTGTGACGCGTCAACGCGATCCCTTGCAGAAATGTTTTCCACTAAAGTCAAATTTTCACACTCCACTTGTATGCATGTTTGTGTATGGACGTGTCTGCTGATGAGCGTTTGAGTCATTGTAGATGCCAAAAAGCGGAGCAGCCTTGTTCCCATCTTTTCAGTTACGGCTTTTAGAAGGCTGCGGAGCCAATATGTAAATTCGAGTTGTTTTTTATCACTGCCTGTACTATTATGCGATAGCCTATTTTAAAGTGCCTTTCTCCTTCCGCCATTTTAAACTTACAAAGAGTACAGAGTGTGGAGTTGAACAGCATGCCACTCTAGGTGAAACTAGAACAAACGGAAGGGTTGTAGTCAAATGAGCATGTATGGCTGAACAGTTGCAGGAGACAAAGATTTTACGTAATAGCTGTCCTTTATAAAAATTGATTCGCGAGGATTTGATGATTTTTTAGTGAGGAGTTACTTCTAAATACGCCTATCATTATATGTGAGGTGTTATTTTTGCAGTCGGTAGGGCAGGTGACCAGATGACTGTTTTTGTGTTTATTTTTATCAGCCACATCACGTTCCACTGCCTATTAGCGTGTCTCGTCTACATTTTCAGCAGCGTTTTGCGACTGACAGTACTCTTTTCCACGGACTTGTAAATCGAGGTCGGTGTGTATAGCTCACTGGTCTATTCATCCCCTTATCACTCGTCTTTTGCCCTTGGGATGTACTTTGTTGATGTGGTTGTTTTAATGGGTTGACAGGGACATCACACCGCCGTGGAAACCGGATGTGAACGGTGATATGGATACCAAATACATTCCCGAGGAGTTCCAGAGGGAAAACGTGGCGGTTACACCTCCAGAGAAAAGCGTATATTCAGACTTTCTTGACCAGCCTTACTTCCAGCGCTTCAGCTACCATGGCAGCCGCCAAAGTCTCAGTCGTCAAAGTGTTCTCAGCTTTGGGGACAATGGCTCCATACCTGAAGGCGCTCTTCCAAACTGAATCTCATCCTTCCCTCTGTGTGTGCTAGCCTAAAGTCATTTCTCTCTTTTTTTTTCGACTTTCAACACGTGAGAAAAGTTGGAATGGGATTGTTTTAAAGATTCATTGATACTCAGTGGTTCGTACTTTTCATTTGGAAGGTAGGTGGCTCTTGTATCTTCTCACGTCTTGGGCATTGCGTAACTGTCAATACACATTGTGATCTCCATTAATTACCGTCATCAACTGGTTTTTTTTTGGAGCTGTTTCGTTCATTTAGGACATGATCCTAGGGAAACTCATCATTCGCCTAT